CTCAGTAAAATATAATAGTTTTCTTTGTCAAATGCTACTTAGCCTCCGACATTTATTGCTAGGCATTTCAGATATTTGCTGTTTAAAAAAATTTTTTTTTATGGAAAGCCACTGTGAGGTATGTGTGTGTGTATGCATATTTTGTATATGTTCACAAATATTTTGGTTACTTCTCTTATGTATTCCTTTTGCACCCTTTATTTAAATGTGTAAATCTCATTTATTTTTCTTGTTTTGTTGCATTGGCTACATCTGCCAAAGCACTATATAAAAACAGTGACATTTATTATCCTTTGTATTGCTGCTCACTCTGATGTAGAATCCATTGGTATTTCATCATTTAACAAATGTTCATTACTATGTTTTATTTTATTTTATTTTGTTTTCCACTGCTATTTTAAGATAGATTTTTTTAAAGGAAGAAACCTTTATTTGAAGTATCAGGAATATTTTTATTCTTTAAAATTGATATGATATTGGTGGATTTCTGAAATCATAGCAATCTTTAAATTTCAGAAGTCATGTTTACCAGATCATGTATATCTTTGGATTGGTTATGATTTTAATTTATGTTGCTATTTTATTTGGGATTTTTACATTTGTATTGTCAGTAAGTAGAATCTGTAGGTGTGTGTGTCTGGTTCTGTGTGTATGTGTGTGGGGCACGTGGGTATACAAGTGTGAATTCTCTCTGTCAAATTTGGGCATCAGGGTTGTGGAGAACAAACTGGAAATGTCATTACAAATAAACTCTGGGGGTGCCTGGGTGGCTTAGTTGGTTAAGCATCTGACTTTGGCTCAGGTCAGATCTTACAGTTTGTGGGTTCAAGCCCCGCATCAGGCTCTGTGCTGACAGCTCAGAGCCCGGAGCCTGTTTCGGATTCTGTGTCTCCCTCTCTCTCTGCCCCTCCCCCACTCATGCTCTGTCTCTCACTGTCTCAAAAATAAATAAACTATAGGGGCGCCTGGGTGGCTTAGTCGGTTAAGCGTCCGACTTTCGCTTAGGTCATGATCTCGCGGTTCGTGGGTTCGAGCCCCGCGTCGGGCTCTGTGCTGACTGCCAGCTCAGAGCCCGGAGCCTGTTTCAGAGTCTGTGACTCCCTCTCTCTCTGACCCTCCCCTGCTCACGCTGTCTCTCTCTCTCTCTCCTAGAAATAATAAAAATATAAAAATAAATAAATAAATAAATAAACTATAAAAAAAATTTAAAAAATAAACTCTGAAATATTTAACATAGCATGGAAATTTTTTCTTGAGAATTAAAAAAAAATTCAGATACTTTCTTGTGCCATTTAGGAGGTAATAAATATTTACATTGTGAGATATTTTCATTATATTTCATCAGTTCATATACTGTTACTCTTCATGGTTAAGTTTTGATTCACTTATATTTTAATAGAAAATTACTCATTTCATCATTGTTGTGTGTTTAAGTTTATGGATATGTTTACTTTCTCATTTCTAAATTTTTGCTTATGTATCTTTAAAAATTTAAAAAAAATTTTTTTACATTTATTTATTTTTGAGAGACAGAGAGAGCATATAAGCCAGGGAAGGACAGAGAGAGAGGGAAGACACAGAATCCGAAGCAGGCTCCAGGCTTTGAGCTGTCAGCACAGAGCCCAGTGCAGGGCCTGAACCCACGAACCGTGAGATCATGACCTGAGCCGAAGTTGGATGCCTAACTGACTGATCCACCCAGGCACCCCTAAAAATTTTTTTTAAAAAATGTTTACTGATTTTTGAGAGAGAGAGAGAAAGAGAGAGAGAGAGAGGACACAAGCAGGGGAGGGGCAAAGAAAGGGAGACTCAGAATTCAAAACAGGTTCCAGGTTCTGAACTGTCAGCACAGACAGACCCCAAAGTGGGGCTCGAACCCATGGCCTGTGAGATCATTAACTGAGCCAAAGTTGGATGCTTAACCAACTGAGCCACCCAGGCACCCTGCTTTTGTGTCTTCTTTATTTGAACTTGAATATACTTGCTCAATTTTAAGCTATTCGGCTTTTCCTTTCAGTTCTAGTTCTGGGATTTATTGATTTTTATCATTTTTAATTCATTATTTTTAAATGAATTTTTAAATTTCTACTTTCCTTGAGTTTATCTTAATTTTCTTCTGATAACTAAGCTGTATGTGTTCATTTATTTTCACAATTCATTTTTAATTTTGTAGGAATTTAGTTTAATTAATTTTATAAGCCTCATAATTATCACTGAAAAAAATTTGGGTATAACACAAAAGTTTTTCTGTTTGTTACAGTTTTCTTTTTTTTTTACAAATAGTTTATTGTCAAATTAGTTTCCACATAACACCCAGTGCTCATCCCCACAAGTGCCCTCCTCCATGCCCATCACCCCTTCCTCCCACATCCATCAGTTCTCAGTTTGTTTCTTAGCATTCAAGAGTCTCTCATGGTTTGCCTCTCTCCCTTTCCCCCACCATTTCCCCCCTTCTTCTCCCCCTTGTTCCTCAGTTATTGTTACAGTTTTCTAAATAGCAATTTAAAAAATTTAGGAATTCTGTTTCATTTTCCAAGTGGTTGTATTTTGTTGTTTCTGCTCTTTGAAATTTATTTGCAAAATTTTTCTTCTTTGCAATTTATTTAGATTTTACTATGATTAATATGCATTTTCATAGTGCTTCATGTACATTTGAAAAGATACAGAGTTCCCTGTTGGTGATATATAGAGTTAGATACATGTCTGTATACGACACCTAAGATGCAATTTAGTCCTAAGAGTTTTGAAAATATAATAGATAGAAGGTACATGTTGTCTGGTATCACTGATGGGCCCAGAGCATACACAACTATTGGAGAAGAGAATGATTCCATCTAAATCCAGCTGACCTTCCCATGGTCCACCAGTGCCTAGAACAAGAGTCAGGCCTGGGGAAGAGAAGCCTGGAGAGGCAGAACTTAGCCTGAGAGGACACATTGGACCACAGCTGCACAGGAAGGTGAATCTCAGAGAGAGAGTAAGACTAGAGCAGGGAGATACAAATCAAAACCACAGATATACCACCTCACGCTGGTCAGAGTGGCTAAAATGAACAAATCAGGAGACTTTAGATGCTGGCGAGGATGTGGAGAAACGGGCACCCTCCTACACGGTTGGTGGGAATGTAAACTGGCGCAGCCCCTCTGGAAAACAGTGTGGAGGTTCCTCAAAAATTTAACGATAGAACTCCCCTATGACCTAGCAATAGCACTGCTAGGAATTTACCCAAGGGGTACAAGAGCACTGATGCATAGGGGCACATGTACCCCAATGTTCATAGCAGCACTCTCAACAATAGCTAAAACATGGAAAGAGCCTAAGTGTCCATCAATGGACTAATGGATCAAGAAGATGGGGTTTATCTATACCATGGAATACTACATGGCAATGAGAAAGAATGAAATCTGGCCATGTGTAGCAACATGTATGGACCTTGAGGGTGTTATGCTGAGCGAAATAAGTCAGGCAGAGAAGGACAGATACCATATGTTTGCACGTATAGGTGGATTAGGAGGAACTTAACGGACGACCGTGGGGGAGGAGAAGGGGAGAAATAGTTGGGGAAAGGGAGGGAGGCAAACCATGAGAGACTTGAAAGCTGAGAACAAACTGAAGGCTGCTGGGGGTGGGGGAGAGGGGAAGGCGGGTGATGGGCATGGAGGAGGGCGTTTGTGGGGATGAGCACTGGGTATTATATGGAAACCAACTTGACAATAAACTGTTTAAGGAAAAAACAAAAAAACTAGAGCAGGGAGAGCAGCTGGGGAGGGAGGGAGACCCTGGGGACAGGCCTGGGGCTGGCACCTCCAGAAGTGGGTGTATCTGTTGGCAGGGACAGTTCGTTCTCTCTTTCCGTCTTTATAAATTCTCAGTACATCCTTGCTGAAGACTACATAGTCTGTTCTCAACTATAGGAGACTGTGCAGTGAGGGAAGGGGAAACGAAGCCCTCTGCAAGGTGGGTGGGCAGCCAAACTGACCGTCACCAGGCCCAGCTACAGTAAGACAGGGGCGGGCAGCTGGAGGAGACAGCCAGAGCAGAGGAACATATGAGAATGGTCTTTGGTATTGATGAAGCAGCTCAGCTCTGGGGTGAGGAGCCCCGAGACGAGCTGTAAGAAACAAGGAAATGCTTCAAGGTGTTACTGTCTCCCTGGTCAGATGGGTGCTTACGGTGGTCATAGCTGGAGCTGTCAAATGAATTTTATTTTCCGGGGGACTAATGCAGTTAAAAGACATTTAAATTAGAAACACTTTAAATAAACATTAATTATACTATTTGGAGCCCTCCACTCTTTTCTGACGGTATGATCAGCCTGCACGGTGGAAAAACATGTCCAACTTTTCTGTGATTACTATATGGTTTCTCAGTGTTCTTGTTTGTCAGAGACTCTGCTTTACATTTCATGATGTTATAATACAGTGTGAGATGAAGACATGCATTTGTTGTATCCTAATTGTAGATTATACCCACAATCAATTTAAAATGCCCCTCTTGGCCTATTTAATGCTTTGTTTGCAGTTTCTATCCCTGTTTCCTTTTTGTGTACATATATCTTGGTTAAGCATTTAACCTTTATTTCTGACCTTGTTTGAGTTGTATCTTGTGTATATTGTATTTTGACCAAAGAGGAAAAAAAAGACTTTATTTATTAATGAGGGTAATAATTAGATTGATAGTTATTTTTAAAACTGATACACATAGTGGACATTGCTGTCCCCTGACTAGCATCTTTTTTCTCCTGCTTTGTCCTAAAGGAGCCTGCATCATGCCAGATTCTCCTTCAACTCCAGGAGAACCTGAGTTTACTTCAGTTCTGAGGTGGGCCTGATTGGTCCAAATACAATCCCACCTTGTGCCAGTGACTGGTCCAGGAATGAGCCGATAACTCAAATCCTGGCAAGACACTGAGAAAGGAAATGGGTTTGGAGGCTTTTCTGGATAACTGTCTTTGCTCCTAAGAAAGCCCCAGGAACTGGAAGTCTCTCTTCCTCTGCCAGGCCTCCTCAGGTCTGGATCCTGCACCTGGACCTGTCATGGAGCGCAGAGGGCCGTCTCTCTGACTGCCTGAGGCTGATGTTTTCATGAGAACGGCAGACCAAAGAGATGGGAAACCTCGGTTCTTGAAGATACCCCCGAGCTTCTGAGTCAATGGCCCTGTGGCTGTCCTACATCTTGCATTCCTGCCACATAAAATTAGGCAAATTTTTATTGTTCTTTGAGCCAATATAAATCCAGGTTTCTGCTAATTGTAGCCAAGAGCAATTAAATGATACAATATGTTCATTTTTTCATTTTGTTTGCATTTATTTCATGCTTTTAATTTATTTCTTTTGTTTTGGTTATGTGTCACTTGAAAATAGATTATATTTTATTTACTCTTGTTTTCTCTTCTGAATTAAGTATGAGTCTGGTTTTTAATTCTACTAAAAATTGAGTAGCTTAACATATACTTACTCCTATATTTTTAGAAGTATCAAAGTCAATATAATAATGATAATTATAATATTAGTATTACAGCTTATGTTTATTGAGCCCTTAATATATACCATGTGATATGCTAAACAATGTATGTATATTTATTCATTACGTCCTCACTGCAGGAAACAGAAACACAGAAAGTTTAAGTAACTTGCCCAAATGAAGCAGAAAAAGGCAATTGCCTCCTCTGCAGATGGGGAAATTAGTCCCCTTTTTCTTCATGCCATGCTTTTAGCTTTCCATTCACTTCCTGTTTTTGTTTTGTTTTTTTGTGGGCACTAGGGAATTTCAGAACCCGAATATTAATGATTAATTATTTTTACATTATATATATTCTTTCAATGAAAAAATATTTCATTTTGAAGCCATATGTCCTACAACTATTTAGTCTCAATTCTACATATAAATAGTTTTGACACTCACCATCATTTCTTTTACATTTTTTTGATGTTTATTTATTTTTGAGAGAGAGAGAGAGAGAGAGAGAAAGAGCAAGCATGAGTGGGAGAGGGACAGAGAGAGAAGGAGATACAAAATCCCAAAGCAGGCTCAGGCCCTGAGCTGTCAGCACAGAGACCAATGTGGGTATCGAACTCACGGAGTACGAGATTGTGACTTGAACTGAAGTTGGACGCTCAACTGACTGAGCCACCCAGGTGCCCCATCACCGTCATTTCTTTTAAACCCCAATATTTTATTCTAAATTATTTAATGCAATTTATTGCTGGATTAACTACTATGTTTTTGAGCAGTTTTATTCATAAGATGTGTTGTTTGCATATAGTTTTCAAAGAGTGATCACTTGGTTAGTGGTAGAATTTCCCCAGAAATTCTATTATTTCTTTTATATGTTCTCATATTTACTGCTGTGTGGAAGTTTGAGCCCATTCTTCTTTCTTCTCCTTAAAGTCTATCCAGTTAATTTCTCTTCAGATACTAGTAGTGTGTGTGTGTTTACACAATTAATTTGCATTGCACAATTCCTGAAATATTCTCCTTCCAAATATTGAGAACTTTCATTAAAAAAAATTCTACTTGACCACCCTTCCCTCAACTCACATTTTCCCCTGAGGTAATTACCATGAGCATTTTGTGTGAATCCTTCCAGAACGTTTCTATGAATTTGCATACGTATATCCATAACTACACATAGCACATAGCATTATTCCAGGGAAATTGTGCTTTGAGAGTATATGTTGAAGGAATCAGTGAAGGTTTTGTGGTAGGATGGAGTGGATGTAAAGAGCAACCTGGCTACCTAAGAAAGAAGACTCCTCTTTGCAGTACTGGGTGACTGGCCCATCAGTCTGGCGAGGTAAATATTGGATCACTGATTCAAGGTTTGCTCCATAGGAAGAAGCGAGGCCATCTTATCAGGCCAGTGAGCTTGTTTTCCATACCAGGCTCACCTAAGAAGTTAATCTACATCTCAGCTCCAGAGCTCATGTCATCAGTAGAGATTCTCCCCACATTCTGGCCAAGATATATTTATTAATCAGCACTGTTACTTTTTCCCATATTCTCATGTGATTTCACTAGGGTTTGGAAAAAGCAGAGACCCAAATTTAGCAAGTAAGAGGCCATCCTGGGAAGGATGCAGGCCAAATTGCTTGTGAAAGGAAGACTGCCTGGAACCCTGGGAAAGAAGAATGTTAGTAACAAGCCTTGCCTCATAGGTTACGAACTCATAGGTTAATCTTTTGGTTAGAAAAGAGGGAGATCTCATGGGGTGTCTGGGTGGCTCAGTCGGTTAAGCATCCGACCAACTTAAGTTATGATCAGGTCATGATCTCACAGTTTGTGAGTTTGAGCCCAACATTGGGCTCTGTGCTGATGGCTCAGTGCCTGGAGCCTGCTTTGGATTCTGTGTCTCCCTCCCTCTGCCCCTCCTCCACTCATGCTTTGTCTTTCTGCTCGGAAAAATAAATAAACACTAATAGGAATTTAGAAAAGAGGGAGATCTCTTTTCATGAGAGATCAACTTGTCCAATGAGGGTAGTTCTCTGAACAATGAGCTGAAGAGATCCAGGGAATGAGCTTGGGCTCTCCCTGGTCTGAGCTCCAGAGAAACAATTCCCCTGCTCTTTCCTAACAAATAAAACCTATTGTACCCGGCTCCTTATGGATCCCATAAGATTTGTTTCTTAAGTGAACTAATTTAGTAAAAATATGTTTTCCCATTTTAATTACTCCCATAACTTCCGAAGAGCATATGATGCTCCAGATTACCACACTGAGCTGCTGGCATTCCTGGCAATGGCAAAGGAAGTTCTGTCTGATAAGCCCAAGGAGCTTGCTATGGGTAGACAACCTGGGCCAGGCTTTTAGGAGTTTTGAAGGTAGAGGAATTTACTACTTTTATATGACTTACACGGTGTCATTCATGTCCATAAAAAAGGAACAGCCAAACAGACTGGTAAGTGCTGACTTGTGCATCTGTTGGTTCTGGCACTCCTACCCTTGTTTTAAGTTGTGAGTGCCTTCTGGAACTAGTCAGTCTAGTGGACCTCTCCCTACCCATATCCCTCTCCGTCTTGCCATCTGCTTTATTTCCTTATAACTCTTACCATGATCTGAACTTATCTCGTGCATGCACTTCTTGCTCATCCATCTCCCCTTCTGGAATGAGTGCTCCATGAAGTGGGGTCTTGCCTGCCTCATCTACTGCATAGACACAGTTAAGTGCTTGACATAGAGAAGGCATTCAATTAACACGCATTTAACTCACTGAATGAACCCATAGGTTAAAATCCTAATGGTGGAAGTTTGGACACTGATGGGGGAAAGAAAACATGCTACAAGATGACCTCAACAACATGGGGTTCTGCTTATGTTATAAAAGGTTCCACACTATGAGTGGTCAAGTCCTGTGGTTCATGGCCAAGGGAGGGTATTTTCTTTTTTACTCATAATAGATAATATTTGTATGTTGGAACAATGAGCCAGTAGATAAACATGAATACAGACAAATTCTGATTTTGGATTCAAATTACAAGTTATACGAATGTAAGATAGGGGAGATGTTTGCCTGACAATAACTTATGGAAACATATTGTGTTTTGGCTGACTAATCTTTTGTAAATGAACAGAATGAGGAGCTATTAAAAATTTACACAATTAATTGAATTTCATGTCTAATAATACAAATAACATCAACATTGATTGTAGCCACCATTTATTTTATACTAGCCATGTACCAGAAACTGTGCTTAATGCTTTTTATACATGACAGTGAGTCATGACAATTTTATTGTCACACCCATTTTATGGATGGAGAAACTTAGGTTCTGAATATTTAACTTGTAGCAGGGCACAGAGCTCGGTGGTGGTGGAACCAAATGTATCTTGCAAAAGCTGTTGTTTGTAACCACTGATGGTCTCACTGCTCTATGTGTGTTCAAACACATTTGGGGCATTGGACTGAGTTCTAGTAAACACATTTTAAGATAGAAAATAAACAAGCAGTGGCTTCACAAAGAGGTCATGGGCATGGTAAAGGGTTTGGAAACCACAGCATGTGGGGAGCATTCAAAGAGAAGGAGGATGTTTAATGCAGAGGAGACGTGATGGGAGGTGGAATCAGGAATGGAAAGGGCATCAAATGGAAGAGAGTAGACCTATCCCACTTGGCTCTAAACAGCAGAACTGGAGCAGCAGACAGAAGTTACAGTGAAGCAAGTTTCATCTTGAAATGAGAACTAACTTTCTAAAGATTAAAGATGTAGGAATGAAGCTTTTGAACCCCTCTTCCCCCCATATCTAGCCACTGTCAGAGATGTTGGATTTCAGGAAAGAGTCCCTTCCACCTCTTTGAGTCTAGGATATTCTAGATAGGTTTAAATTTTATTTGAAAGAGGGGCGCCTGGGTGGCTTAGTCGGTTAAGTGTCCGACTTTCGCTTAGGTCATGATCTCGCGGTTCGTGGGTTCGAGCCCCGCGTCGGGCTCTGTGCTGACTGCCAGCTCAGAGCCTGGAGCCTGTTTCAGAGTCTGTGTCTCCCTCTCTCTCTGACCCTCCCCTGTTCATGCTATCTCTCTCTCTCTCTCTCTCCTAGAAATAAATAAAAATATTAAAAAAAAATAAATTTTATTTGAAAGAAAAGTAAAGATCATTTGAGCTGATTTAAAGTGGGTCTTGTCTAGGAGCAGGGGGATTATACTACTCTCTGAGTTCCTGTCAGCCTTTTGAGCGTGTAACTCTTCCACTGGCCATAACTGAGGCACATCTGAAGTCAGAAAGGGGAAGTTGTATTTGTTCTTAGTCTAAATCCTCTTTAAAAATAATAATTCTTGGGTGCTATTCTTGTACTCATTTAATTTCAGAGTCTTATGCATTTATTTTGTGTTTAGCACCAGGTAGTGCTAATTTTTTAACCATGCCCTCTGCACCCCACCCCTCCTTAATCCCATTATAGGTCAAGACCAAGGGAACTCATTCGGCCTCGTGTCCCCCCCCCCCCCCCAACACTTCCCATCCCTAGATATGTTCAGAAACTATGCAGGTAGAAATTACCTGTGTTTATAATTTATGAAACCCAAAGAGCAGTGGAGAGAACAGGAATGAATCCTGCATGATTACAAGGACAAAGCCAGCTCCAGGTGCATTCCCACAAGCCAGTGTGGGTGGAATTTTCCCTAGAAAAAGTGTGCTTATTTGTGGTTTCCCACCAGCCTCTTGGTGCAGAGAACATCTGCAGAGCGCTAGACAAAATGGGCTTCTGTGTGATTTCAAAGGAACATTAGAATTTTGGGGTAAGATTTGAAGAGCCCCAACCCC